GTTGCCTAGGAGAGGAAAAAAAAAAAAAAAACAAATCACAGGAGACAAATCCAAACCAGAATGAAACCTTAAGCCTTGTATTTGAGTCTTCTTTAGATGAGACATAGGAAAAGACAAAGCAAGAAGCCAGACTTCTTACAGAAGCAACAGAAATATCCCCAAAACAATCACTAAATATATCTCCTGTACCTACAAGATGAATTAATACTAAACCTATCATAAATGAGGCATATTAATTTTTCAGCTACTCGTCTTGTCTCCATTCAGCATAGTTACAGTCAGTCTTATAAACAGAAATTGAACAGCATGTTGGCTTATTAATTTCACTTGTTAACTTAAATATTAATGATATTCAAAACATATCTTGTGTTTTTGCATGCTATTTCAATGTTCCAGGATTGATTCACACACATTACACTTGTCCACATGCTATTCTCTAGGAACATAGAATATATGAATATTCTCTCTGAATATACAATTATGAGAAGTGTTAATCAGAAATACACACACTCACCTGCACTATTCTGCTCAGGTGGCAATCAGCAGCCAATTCCAAACCCTGTTTTTCTGCCCAGGCTTCAATATGGCCCAACTGTTGACGAACAATAGCTCCCCAATAATGTGAACATAACCCTGAATCTGGGGCCGTAACCAATCTGTTAAAAAGCCACATGTTGATAAAATGAAACAGCTGGGAGAAGAGCTGTATAGTCAGAGCAGCATTCACTCGACATCGTCGCAAGAGGGACATAGCTCCGGTCAATGTATGCAGCACATCATCTACAGAGATAAAACAGACAGTAAATCATTCGCATACTGCAATGTACAACTGGTTTAGGCCATAAATAATAATATAGACACCTAACCCATGTTGGCAAATGCTAGGTGGAACCTATGTGTATTTAAGTTATACAGAGTCTCAGAAATAAATTTGCAGCTTCATGTTTTTTAAGATGGAGTAATATTAAACTGATAGATGAAATATCAAGATTTTTTAAATCCTGAAATGAAAATAAATTATTTTGGGGAAATAAGTATACAAGTATATCACTGGTTATATCTGACATTGAAATCATGTCCTCAAATAAACTCATTTTTCTATTATTTTTAATAACAAGTCAAAAACTTTATATTCTACTGTTTCAAATGCATATTGCAATTATTCCATAGCTCGTTACAGTTAATTATCAAACTATACTCAAAAATTACAGCAAAAACTATTTACATCCCACCACGTACTTAAACTGCAGGATGCATCTCCTGTTTACATATTAGTTTTTTAAAATATTATTCAAATTTCCTTTTGCCCATTAGTTCACTGCAATATTAGGTAAAAAGCAAGAGGGTCTTCCTATTAGCTTCACCAAGAGCAAACATCCTTATATGGTTCCTGGTGACACATATGAACGCAAGTAGAACATTTATCTCCAAGCCTTCTTTTAAGACAATACTTTTATCTGAAATCTTTATTGAAGAGGCCACACCAAATTAATTTCTTTAGCAGTGAAACACAGGATTGTGACTGAAAAAAAATTATCTGTGTAAGACAGAAATTTATAAAGCAGTTCAAAAATAACTGAAACTATAAACATCATCTGTCTTTACTCCAGTGTCAGTTCGCTACTTTTTCAGGGTTTGCATCCCAGAAAGTTCTCTGTCATAGTGCAGGGCACTTAAAACAGTGTATCTTTATATTCTTCCTTCAACGCTCAACACAAGAAAAAAGCAACTGCAGCAAGCCTAATACCCAAAAGACCAGAAAATATGTATGAATTTTGTATAAATACTCTTCATAGTTGAAAGAATGACTGTACTTAATAGTTCTGCAGATCATCTTTACTTCAATTATTCAGAATGTCGCTATCTTCTTAACTCTTCCTAACCTTGTATCCCCAATTAATCCCTTCACATTTGAGTATTTTTTTACATTTTCCATTTTCTTCTTTAGACACCGGGCTACAGAACATAGGGAGCACTCACACTTCGCCCATGAAAAGCACAGCTTGGGGTCCCATCTCAGGGGCTTGTGCATGAATACGTTCAGCAAGGAAAACAACAAGAGGCATTAGAAGTCTGAGCACAGTCACTGAGCTGGGATTACAGAAATAGTGGAATAGCACACATGACCAGAATGCTCCCATGGACAGGAACAGCCCAGGAAGGCTGACACTGCTGTGGAAGCACTATCTTTAATTTAAAGTATCATGGCAGGGATCCTTGGCAGGAATCTACAAGGCCAGTCAGCTTAACCCTAGTACCCAGAGGTACTTTAGCAGGTTCTCCCATAGCATCCTTATAGTGAAATTCCTGAGATAAGGACTGGATAAACAGATGATAATGTAGGTAGAGAATTGGCTAGACTGCTGGACTTGGTGGATTTCCACTTGGCAGTCAGCTATTAGTGGCTTTCCTTATGGATTGAGGCTGCGACTGATACTGTTTAATGACTTTATTAATGGCCTGAGTGATTGGACAGTGTGCATCCTCAGCAAACTCACAGATGATACCAAACTAGGGGGAAATACTGATACACTGAAGGGCAGCAGTATTTTCCAGAAGGGCCTCGGTAGGCTGGAGAAATAGGCTGACAGGGACTTCACGAAGTTCAAGGGCAACTGCCAATTCCTGCATCTGGGAAAGAACAAGTCTATGCAACAGTATGAGCTGGGGGCCATCTGGATAGAAAGTAGCCCTGCTGAAAATGATGCATAAACATCAAGTTGAATGTGATTAAGCAGCATGTCCTTGCTTGAAAGGTAGCCAGCTGCATACTAAGCTATTAGCAGCAGTGAAGGAACCAATCCCTCCTGTGCATTCAGCATTTGTGAGACTGCTCCTGGAGCACAGCATCTAGTTTTAGACTCCCTAGCACAAGGAAGATACTGATCTAATGGAGCAAATTCAGCAGAGCGCCGCCAAGATGATGAGGAGACTCAAGAAAAGGACATAAAAGAGGGACAGAGAAGTGAATTTGGTTCATCCTGCGGAAAGGGAAGGCTAAGGGCACAACTTATTGCTGTTTTCATCTACCTAACAGGAGGGTTCAGAACAAGACCCCTCTCAAAGGTGCACAGTAATAGCATAGAACAACAGACAAACCAGCACAAAAATTGCAACATGAGAAATTCCAATTAAATATAAGAAAATTATTTTCACCATGAGGGTGGTCAACTGCCGGAACAGGTTACTCAGAGATGTTGTGGCATCTCTATCCCTCAGTGGAAATTCAAAACTCAACTTGGTAATACTCTGAACAACCTGATCCAGTTGCACCTGCCTTGAGCAAGACACTCGATTAGATGACATTCAGAGGTTTAGTTCAGAGGCTCCAAACTAAACTATTCCATGATTTCTAAATCCAATATAGATCATTTGAATGTCACTACTGTCCTTTTTATCGTCCATACAAAATTGACCCAAACAATTCCCAGGAGTTAGAGCAACTTGTAAATGTCTTCTCACTGTTAGGAAAAATTCTATTTATTACTAATTAATTGTATAGTTTAGAAGACACAAGTAAAGATCAAATAGTCTAACCTATTTTAGGCCTCTGAGGATTATTTTCCTCTGGATCGTCAAGGAATGCTGGCATGTAGTTACTAAGCTCTGATTGCAGACAATGAACCAGGTACCTGGAAGGGAGGGGAAAAAAAGAAATTTTAAAATCCTGTATGTGTTCATTAGGAATGCTTCTAAAGAAAAGAGATCTATCAAATTACAAGATTTCTGAAACCACAGTGTTACGTATGTGAGGGAACCAAATAATACTTTTTAAAAGGGCGGACAGATAATTTCCTAGAAATGCTGGGAAAAGAATTAGGTTGTCAGGGAACAAACACAACCACTAAAATGCAGTATCGCTACCACATCTGTAAGCAAAGATCATATCCTACATAAAGAGATGCTGTCAGGCCAAACATTGGTTCTGTAAGACAGCAGGAACTATTGTTTCCAAACAGAAATACATTTTCCTCTGATTTAAAATCTACCAAGAGTGGCATTAAAAAAAGAAAATAAAAAAATCCTATTGCGAGCCAACGCACAAGATCCTGAAATCACTATAGTGTTGTAAACAATTTTTTGATTCTTGTATTTCTCTCACCTTTAACTACAGTGAAACACAAAGCCTGTTTTAGTATTCTTTCTCTTCTAATAATGAAATATTTTAACACTGTTCTTAATTCATTTATACATTTTCTGTTAAGAACTGAAACTAAAAGGGAATCAAATTGTAATCACATGTACAAAGAAAAACATTTCACGCTTTCTACAACTCCTCTTTCTGTTTCACTGGCAACATTTGTAACAAAATATCCTCAATTGCTAGAAAACAAAAGCCATGGCAATTTCCACCGATTCTGGTGTATGCCAGTTGTTACCATCAAATAACATTTTCACAGCAAATTTCTTTGTTTTCATGCTTCTGTTGTGCTTTTTATTTGCTTTCTAAATATACATTCCACAGTTCTGGTCTCCAAAAGTTTAATGCATCCATTTGAAATCTTCCACGTTATAGTGTACTTAGGGGAGAATTCACATACAGCTAAAATTCAGAAATAGCCTTTCACATCCAGTCTGATCATCATGTACAGGGAAAAACAGTGCCATTCCTTCCTAGTCACAGAAATATTCTGTCTTCAATGATTACCTAGCAAACTGAAGTAGCAAAGAGTTGTTTCAAGACACCAATCGAAAACACTGACCTGTGGCAAAAGGCATAGCTTCATTAACAGTAATTTAGAGATACTATAAAAAGTGAAAGACTTTGTCACAATAGCTACTTGCTCTACCCTATTTTGCCATAATTCATCAAGAAAAATAAAATAAAATCTGTGGGAGTGTATACCAAATAGTTTGGTGCTTCTCTGGTACTATTCAAATGTTCAGAAAGCAATGATAAGGTTTCACATACCACATTCACATACTACACATTGCTCTTTAGAGCAATACAGGCTCTCTTAAAGGTAAACAGTTAAACTACAGTTAGGTCTCCCAATCCTGTCACAGTATAAAAAGAAGAAAGATGATATTCTGTGCTATTGCAGAAGTATGAAAAGACTATGTTTAAAATAGACATCCTACAAGTGGGGGAAGGCTGGGTGTAAGTCATCCAAGGTACACTGGGACTTCTCTAAACATTCGTTTCAGAGACACAAATTTGCTGAGAAAAACTTGTTCAATAGTGACTTGGAGGGAAAAAAATAACCTAAATATGTACAAAAATTAAATCTTTCTTGTTGATTAGCACTGTGCTCACTCAATGTTTTATCTTTGTTCAAGAATCCTTTTCTCAAAGGACTTCCCTTCCCATTAGATACTTCATTCAATTTTTCTTTTAATAAGTATTGTACCTGCCTGAGCTGACTAGCATAGGTTGATTTTACCCCAGTCTGAAACCTGTCTTTAGGTTTTTAAGAAAAAACTGTGCAAGAAAACTGCTATGCAAATTGTTATTTATGTGAATTATGAAAGGAGTAGATTATGAATATAATTAGAAGCCCTTAAAGAGTACAAGGTTCTTTACTTTAGAGAGCCATAATATATAAATACATAGGCTTAAATATTTAACTGCAAAAATAACCTTTCCTCACATCTCCATAAAAACTTTAAAAGAAAGCAATCATCTCAAACTAGATTTAAATAACATTTCCCTAAAATTTTAATTGACAGCCTCGATTATCACAAGAACAGCTAATAGATGAAACTCCCTGCATAGCCCAGTGATCCATATTCATAAAACAAAATATGTCTAAAGAAGTAAGCCTCGCCTCTCTTGTAAGTCCTCCTCTCAGATATTTAACAACACACAAAAGACATTATTGCTATACCTAAAATTTGGCAAAAATATGAAGTTATTCTAAAAATCACAGAAACACAGAATATGATAAGTGAAACAGAAGTCTGATAGCCTTACTTGAATGCCATTTGAACCAAGTGTGCCAGAACATCTTGTGCATCCACAGTAATTCTGCTAAGATCTCGATCTTGCTTTATGAAATTCAGTAATTCGGATGCATTTGCCATCCAAAAGGCCAGTGCCCCAGCAATATTCTTCTGTTTCTGTAAGCAGAAAGAAGCAAGAAATAATACAGGGAAATAGCTTTCTGATAAGGCATGGCAGCTTAAAAAGGCTCCAAAAGATAGACCAGTACCTTTTCCCATTTCACCAAACATATCTCAGATACCAGATATTTGCAAAATGTTTATATGTAACATTGCGATTGCTGTGACTGGTGAGTTCAATTTTAACATGTTCACTGAACATATGAATTCTGTTGGATTGCCAATAGCCATACCAATAAAGCCACGGCATAAGGATCTAGTTCTACAGTGCTAGGAACTTAGCAGAATGCAGTATCTGGTAATCTGTGCACTTGTAAGCGCGTATTCACTACTGCCCACTGTCACCCTGATACTGCGCTCACTGGCTTTGATACCAGGTGATTCAGTATCAAGTACTGATCTATCTCACCATCTCCCGACCACAAATGCCAGGCCAGGCAACCTCAGATGAAATCCAAAGAATAGGAACCACAAACAACAAAAAAAGAAAATAAAGGGAAGAAAAAGAACTTTGGTCATTTCATATCCACATTGAAGTGCATTAAGCAGAAATTATGGAATGCCGTAAAAGTTGCAAAGTCAAAAAAGGATTTTAGTACTGCATGTTCCAGTTGCTGAATGAGTGTTATGAACCGTTCAAGTCCAGCTGTTTGAGTATTGTATTTTGATATGGAAGCAGCATGAGAAACTGAGCTAAGCCAACATAGCTAGGATCAGTTCCCAGCAATATATCCTACCTGATCAACCTGGTCTACCTCCTGGAGAAAAACGGACGAAGGAAATCAAACAGAATAGAAGAAAGAAACTTGTGAACAATCATGATAGCTTTAGAAATCAAACACTAAATATGAAGGTACAACACTTATGTTCACGGTTATACACAGGTGCATTAATCAGTAGCTACGATGCAACTGAGCCCCTTTTAAAAAATGAATTATTTTAATAGGACTAGTAGCACAACAGCCAAGAACTGAAGTGCCCACATGTCACAATTAATTCAAGGAATGCCCTATATGAGTTGACATCCCAGACTAGTTGGTTATTCCATGCTCAGTGCACCACAGAAACCCCACAGAACTTTTTGCAGGCAACGGGGTAACTAGCCATCCAAGTAACAGATTCAGGGAGCTATTTGCCCACACTGCTGCAATGAAGACAATGTACAAACAAACACAAAGGGGGACAGAAAATCCCCACTAGGAAAAAAAAAAACAAACAACAAACAAAACAAAAAACATAAAACACCTAGGACAGAATTAATACATGGTTTTTCAATTAAAAAACAAAAAAAAAATGTTTTAAACAACAAAACAGAGTCAAATAAAATACCACACTAAGCTGCTTAATGCTGATACATAAAAGCTACACTGAGTTAAGCAAATAAAAAAACCCACCAAATATGTTTGTCTGATTATTTAAAACTGAGCTCTTAATTCTTTTTGGCTTTCTATTCAGACCACTCTGCCCCACCTGCAACTCAGTTGAGTTTAGATGCAAAAATTTGAGGTGTCATTTGCTGTTACTATTATAATTTTAGTTTGAGCTCAAAAAAACAAATTGCCACTGCTTTTTTGTTTCTTCCCCCTTTCCAAACAAGGCACTCTGAAATGACTGAAGATGTGTTGGCAGAGAATGAAAGATGTTCCTTCTACAAACAATTGTTAAAATTTGCAGAGGATCAGAAATGCCACAGAATTATTTGAAAAAAAAAAATCATGATACAAAAAAAATGGCTTTTTTACATGAACTAACTTCTATTCCTAGGTTTTTACTGGAAGTACTAATCCTTCTCATAGATCTCTCCAATTTTATCCCCACCTCATATGAAGTCTTCTATAATATTTGCACACGCAAATGCAAAGACTACAAAAAGTCACAGACTTCGTTTGTTAGCAAGTAACTTCAGAAAGCTATCAAGTCTCCTTACAATCTAGGCAGGCAAATTTAGGGTCAAAACATTTTATTTCACCCCCACAGCACAGCACAAGAATTTGCACACATTCCCTCTACTTCGGTTTTGGGTGCCTCTCTCTCCCCTTGCCTCCTCCCACCTGCCCTCTCCATCTCCCACACCCTCAGATTGCTTTCAGCACAGGCATGCTTTGCAGCCAAGACATACAAAAAAGTTACTGTGACACAGAGACTTATTACATGGTAGTTTAACCATGACAGCCATCCATATAACCACTCGTTCTACAGCTTAGATGAAGTAAGTGGACTTAGTTTAGCTAGTGCTGTTTATACTCCACTAAGACAGGCCCAAGCTAATGACATTTTCCTGGTCAAGCTTTCAAACGTGTGCATTTTTTAGTCTTCAGTCCATTAACTCTCAAATTCAATGAAGTTCTACTCTCATGACATTTTCAATTTTCCCCCTTTCCTCCAGCTTCTTCAGCATGACATCTGGAAGAACCTCCTCCCAGTTTTCCTTCAACCTCCGACTCTCTTCAGTTTCTTTCTTGGAACCAGGTAACATTTTCACAAATCACAGATGCAGCTATCACTTCCTTGTTGATGTCTTCCTTGCATTTTAGGTTGGGGATTAGACCGCAACTGTAGTTGCAAGGCTGTAGAAATGGCCTTTCACAAAGGACAATCCAGACAAGCACTTGGGTTTAACAGTTTTGTAATACTATTATCAGGATTATATAAAATACGCTTGCTTGCAACAACCACAAGGCTGGACCTGATTTGGGAAGCCCTTCACAGTGCCGATATGAATGTTTTCACAGGATAATCTATTTTCTAGTTTTGATTTGTTTTCAAATCAAACAGATGTTTGAGTTCACCTCTCTTGTATCTTCTAGCAGCTACATGGTTATCCATTTTAGCTGAATACAAAGAATGCAGAACTTCACTGATGCTTTCCCACTGTACCCATCCCTGTCACCTCAAGTCTGTTTGGGGTCATCGTTACTAGCTTACACTAGTTACATAAACCAAGTGACTTCGATTCAGCCCTGTAAGTACCAGATGATATTTTAAGCCTACCCTTTAATTGTTTACTTTCCATTCTCCCAACTAAATTGCTCATGTTCACCCCTACTGCATTTCATGTTTGCCCCTACTGCATTTCATGTTCGCCCCTGACTTTAACAAACTCACTCAATCAGTCAGATCTTTTTTTTTTTAAATAGCAGAACCTGAATAATTTAACTTTTGATACCATTTCAATTTTATCAAACATGCATTTACCACAGCATCAAGACTCAAAGCAACGTACTAGTTCTTCACTTCAGATTCAAACCATCTTAACCTCTCACCAGCTTCAGAATGTACATGAAAGGTTAATCTTTGTTTTCTTACCATAAAGTGTCTTCAACACTGGCATTTTCTCCCATTCTTTCTTGCAAAAGGTGGGAGTCTGTTCTGTTTACAGAGCAAATTATAACACTCTCCCTACTTAAAACTCCACTAAATCTTTCCAAAATCTGAACAAAAGCTGAACGGTTTTGGTTTGCTGTGACTTTCATGCCGCTCTCTTGTTGTTTACTTTCCTCTTCTCCCTTAATCAACCTGTTGTGTAACACTTGCATCATAAATTCTCTAAAGCAGGACTGATGCATTTGTTATGCTTGTACAGTGTCTACCGCAGCAGGGTTTTTGCTCTATATGGGCTACTACGGCAGTACTTTTTGCAACAAATGTATGTTTCAATAACTATAAAAATATATTTCAATTTTTCCTCTGAGAAAAGCCTGCAGCAAAGAAGTTACAATAATTAATTAGCTAGTAAGGATACCTGAACTAGCATTCCTTTTCCAGGAAATGATCATTACATTTTATCAACAGTTACACAATGCAAGGTATTGTCTAATTTCCCAGACAATTCAGTGGATCTCATCCTGCATTCCTACATAAAACAGAATTCTCCCAATGCTTCTGCAGAAGTCTTGCACATATAACAGCAATAGCATCAGACTACATATAAGATGTCGGAACAGTTGAGAATTTATATTTCTCTTTATAAAGCAATTGTGTCAGCTTGGCCCAAAAGGCCCAGTTTTATTACCATTTTTGTGGTTACAGAAGTTGTAAAAGTAACAGGATCAAAATTTAAAAGTCACGTTTCTTTTTAGTATCTTCACTTGAAGCATCAGTCAGTGCAAACAACTGCTATCCATACGATATTCTTTAGCAAGCACACCCAACCTGTTTTACAGGAGCTCACAGCCAGAAACGCTTGCAAAGATCTTACCTTCTAGAGAACAGAAGAGTAACTTCTTGTTAGAAAACAGATCTTCAGAGCAACAGCCCCTCCTAACCTCCCGCATTGCCCAGGAGAGATTTTCTTACCACTCACATTATTCATTGACACAAAAGTAACCTTCACACAGGCAATAAACACAAGTATTAGTCTGATCCTTAAGGATAGTTGGTTAAACATTAAGAAAAAGGCTAAGAAAGTTACTAGATAACCTACTAGATGTATTTAATTCCCTTGATATATTTCTTTCAGAGAAACTCACCTGTATAACTCCTTCCATCATGTTCACCATCTTGTTGACTATTGCAATGACTTTGTGAGTACGCTCAGTAGGAGTGATGTCAGGTCTGTACTGGCTTGACAATACATACCGACACGTCATATACAAAACATACGTGGGTGATAGCTTAAAATGAACTGTCGAGCTGTTTGTGTAATTTATAATGGCAGATAAGAAGGCATCTTCAGCTGTAGAGAAAGAGGAAAAACCACTGTGTCAAAGTCAAAGATAGAAAGAAAATTCTAAATTATTTATTTTGTACTATAGTTACTTAAGCACTGTAACACACTTCTATATGAAGGTAGAAAATCTGATCATCAGGAAACATTTCTGTACTATTTCCTATCACTTTGCTGAAAATTTGCATCTTCAAGGGAACAGGAAAATCCAAGTTTTCTCTTGTCCGTTCTATTCTTACGAAGCTCCCTTATCACAGGGAATTTTGTACTAATGAAAATCTGTCTTTGCTTGCTCATGAATCTATTTATTTCAAATGTTTGAAGTCTGGACAATCTCTGGTATGATATTTTTCTACCAGGTCTGAGACCTTAAAAACCTGAAGACCAAGATAACAAAAAATTAAATTATAAATGAAAATTTAAACTTAGTCAGATTATATACAAAACAGATTTTGACTCAAATGCAATCTATTATTCAAGGCATGGAGAACTTTATAGAAGAGAATGAATTCAATGCACTGTTGAGCAGGTGGGATTAACAATTTTTTCACAATTAAATTTGAATATCTGAAGATAAAGAGTTGAAATGCAATTAGAATTAGATATGCATGAACCTGCTTCAATATCTGAAGAAGCGTCTGTTCGCCCTCCCCAACAAAATAAATTTTATTACTGCATTAGTTATCATCTGTTTAGTCATTATTCTTTTCCAAGTTTACTTAAGTTATCCTTAAGTTTTCAACCTGACTAAAATATTATACTATAGAAAAACGTATCAACAGGTTAGTTCACAATTTACTCACAGCTTTCCCTGAATTCAATACTGGCAGGTAGTATAAGTTCTGGTCCATGGGTATCCTGAGATCTAAAGAAAGAAGACAAAAATTAAAACAAATAATCCACACAGGTGATATTAATTCCACTGTAAAATGACAGATTTCTCCAAATACACTGGGTTCCGAACGCTGACATAACATCCTTTCCCAAAATGATCCGTCTTTTACCTTTCCTCTGGAATCATTCAAGCTATATTTGCCCACAACACAACAGATCAAAATACAGACTTTGATACAGACTTGGAGTCTGTGATACTAATGAACATCCTCTTCTGCGCTGCATTGCAGACTGATAGGATCAGTTTCCCATCTGCCATTGACAGGATTCAAACAACAAATTATTTATGGACGAATGAAAGAAAGTGAATGAAGCTTCACCCAAAACAGCTCAGTTATAGCAAAGCACATTTGTTGTCTTTAATGCCCTCAAAACTGGTAAGGACTTGGTCAACTTACCTGTCCTTTCTTCTCGTAAGGACGAAAAAGGTAAAATGTAGCCCCTACTCTCACCTGGCTGTTGCTATGCTATGTTAAGAAACAGCTGTCATTCCATGAGCCCTAGAACTATGTCCTTACTTAAACTGACTGCAGTGCCCTTTCTTATCAGTACCTGTAAGAGAATTCACAGGGGAGAAAAAAAGAACAGCAAATTGATTTTACTGGTGTCTACAGAAGGTTAAGCACATATTTAATTTCTCCCTTAAGCAAAAGCATTAATTGAGCTGTTCTCTGTGGTTAAGCACCTATTTTTAGAAAATATGTAAAAGCTTAACATCTTCTGCATGCAATAGCCGTTTTTAACCACATGTAACACCGTGTGGCTTTCTATTTTCCCCAGCAACTTTGATAAAGAAAGGAATGTAATATGATTATATAAGCCTCATTATCCTGAGAAATTTTAGTTATGCCACAAAGCACAGGTAGGACAACGAAGGCCTTGATTCATCTATCTCCTGTAGTAAAAATCCACAAGATAACTTTGAAGGCTGATGTCAAAGAGCTAAAATAAAATTTTAGCATATTCAATAAAAAAACTAAGGGTACCTTTGGGTTTTGGTGGTTTTTTTTCATTTTTGAAACTTGCAAAAACTTAAACCAATAGAGAACTCAGGTATGCCATCTAGATAACGCTTTATTAGAAAAAGAGCTCAACAAAACAAAGTTCAGAAGAGGAGAAAGTTAAGGAAACAGCAGGCACAGCAGGGCAATATGTACACAAATTTCTGCCAGTCCAGTTACATTTCAAACATGACAGCATGTTCTCTTTATGAAGAGCACTCAGTTGGTGTATATATTGCAGCATTTCCTCTCGTTTTAGTGCTATAAATTTAAGAGGAACTAATTTCTCACTATCTCCACACTGTCAAAAATGCATCATCTTCACTGAGAACTTAGTTACTTTGGTAGAATAATAACTAATACTCACACAACATTATAAAATATAGAAGTGTAGTGACAACTCCAGAGAAATTTTTTACTCATTATAGGTATGGTAATAAGACAAAGAAATGTTTCAACAAACTGGCTAGTAAACTGGTGATGGATTCCAGCTGATGATTTGTTTCCCTTTCTTTAGGGCAAAAAGATAGTGATCCCTTTGAGCACAAAGGAAGGAACAGGATTCTCAGTCTTCCCTCCAATGGGAGGGAAACCAGCACAAGAGATGAGAACTGACGTGGATTTGTGCAAGTTTGCCTACAGAATTTTGGAAATCAGCTTCTAGAGAAAAATGAAGATGAGGTAGGAAGAGGAAAGACTTCTTTAAAAAATGTTAATTTAGTTTTACCTGTAAATTAGTTCTCTAGAAAAGATGCAGTAAATCAATTATTTTAGCTACCTTTATATGAGTTTCCTTCAACTAATGTACCATTTTCTGCCTTCCCTAAGCATACACAAATAAATACTCTCTAATTAAACTTTGTAAATTGGAAATTTAAGTTAAAATAACACTCTGTGCTTCTGATACAATAGTAGCTAGCCTATCTGCTTTGTTACTGGATACGTTTTAAGTAGATATTGTCTTTGTACTATTGCTTTTATAGAAAAATCCTCTCTGTGGTGATGACATTCTCTGAGCTAAAACAGTCTCAAAGTCTAGTTAGGGTATGCCTAACAAGGCCATAAAATATTGATTACGGGTTGCCTCATTCCTAAGTATAGTGTCAGGTAATACTTTAAAATTGCATTAAAAACAATAATACATTCTCCAGATATTTCTGTATTCTCATAGATTACTTGTGTATGATAAACTGCATAAAAAATAAAATATCCTCTGTCCTTGTATGATTGTTTTAGCCAGCATACTAGCTACATATAAATTGTGTAAATGTGCATGTTACAATTAGGAATCAGAGTGTCTGCATTCCATTAACACCACTTACATATCACTATTGTCATGCACCAAACACATTTTTGAAGAACTCCTGTAGGGTATCCAAGGTAAAAAAAAGTATCTTTTTTTCTTTTTTACTACATGCTTGCTCATGCTAATTAAAGTCAGTTATCTAATGAGGATGTATGACCACAATCCTTAACTAAATAGCCATCATCTTTATTTCACAGACAAAACTACACCCAATAAGTAAATTGGAGCTACGCCCTCAGGTTTCAGTATTATTTTTTTTCTAGAGACATGAAAAGTTAAGACAGGCAAGTTCTAATCTTTGGTCTTCAACCCATTCAGTGAGTGACTGGAAGAAAATCTTATTTCCCTTATTCACTTTTGAACAGCAGCGATGAACACGCACAAAAAGAACAGACAAGGACGCTTAGTACACAGGTGGACTAGTTGTACAGTAACAAGAATCTGAAACTGCTCAGTGAAGATTTTTTGGTTTTCAAACTAAGATAGCAGTTGTTTCCCTCTATGATTGCTGTCCTTATAGTTCACAAAACACGACCAGAGTATCTCAGAAGAAGCCTAACTAAAGATTCACAGAATGCATCCTCAAAGGGAAAGAATTCAGTTTACTTGAGCAACTCACGGCCTGGCATTTCCTAATTTGACAGCCTGACTTTGCTAATTTGTTAATCTCAACACAGTGAATATATCTGAGAAAGAGTAAGCAATATAAATGCTGTATTTAGATAAATTACTCTCAATGTAATTACACGACATATACTATATGCATCTATACACAGAGATAAAATAGCAATGTCAACGCTAGTGATAAAAAAAAACCAATCACTGTGGTTGTAGCTATCACAAATTTAAGTGTAATTTGCACACTTCTCTAAAAACATTTTTTGCACACAATTAGCAAGGTGAATAAAAAAGCCCTGTGTATAGTAACACCAAGGCTAGTATGCTAGTATGCATACTGTCTTCAGAAGGAATTTTAGAGCTCAAAAAAAAAAAAAAAAATCAAAATAAAGCCAAGATGCAGCTCACAGATGGCTCAGTATTTTTCAAATATACAACCATAGCACAACATAATCCTCCTCATAAGTGTTCTTGCTGAAAGGCAGAAATACAGAAATTTAATAATCTTTTTACACATATAAATGTACAGCTAGAACTCGAGAAATATTAACAGAAGCTTCAAGAACTTCTGACAGACTATAAGAAGTTCACAAAGAAATTTTGTTGATCTTTTATGAGAGAAAAATTAGTTAAAACACTAGTAATTCAAGAAGAAGGGGTTAAATCTGCAGCAACCTTACTAAGAACAATTCCAAAAAAGTCATCCAAGATGCCCAGATGCGCTAAGAGAGCACAGAACCAAGTTGTATTCTATAGTAACTTCACTGAAAGCATTTAAATGATATCCATGCTATAAAACACTAGAACATCACAAATTCAATTTGAGTAGAAGCACAATTTTCTGCTTTTTTTTTTTTCCTACCACTCACATCTCCGAACTCTGTTTTCTGACTAGTGAATAATAAATTCACCTAAAGGTAGCAGAAGCTTCATACTAGAAACTTTACAACTTGAACCACTGCACTGTTTAACCTGCAGCACATTTATCTTACCTTTCATCCATTTATCATAGCAGTTTATCTAAATTTAAAACCTGATTTATGTAGACAACAATACATTCTTGTAGTTTTCTTAAAATTTGATAAAATTCTTCACGCAGAATCGCTCAGGTGTGATGGGACCTCTGGAGATCATCTGGTTCAACTTTCCTGCTCAAAACAGGGTTAACTAGAGCAAGTTGCTTATGACCTTGTACAGTCAGGTTTTGAGAATCTTCAAGGATGGAGACTCTACACCCTCTCTGGGTAAATCTGTTCCAGTGTTCCACCACTCTCATAGCAAAGAAGTTCCTCCCATGAGGTATTTACACATTGATAAGATCTGCCCTGACTCTTCTCTTATCAAGGCTACGTAATGCCATCTCCAGGTACATAATCGTTCTTTTCCTAAGTATGTATTTTTTATCAGAACTGACCAAGACATTGGACTCCAGAGAAAAAACAATCTCACAGAAGCCTAAGTTGAAAGGGACCACTAGAGATCATGTGCTCCAATCTTCAGTTCAAAATAGGGCTTTATCCAGGATTATCCAGCGCCTTGTCAAGCAGAATCTTGAAAATTTCCAGTGAGGGAGATTCTACCAGTTCTCTGGGCAACATATCCCAATGGTCACTTTGTCTCACAGTGAAGATTCCTGCCCTCTGCTCCCTACAGCCAGACAATTTTTCCCCAGAGCATTGCCTTTTCACCTGTCAACCAGCATCCTTGTGATGACAACACTTCCACGTCCTCTATAACTACCCTTTTAGGTACTGGAAGATTGCGATTAGATCCACCTTGAGTCACCTTCTCTCTAGACTGAAAAACCCCAATCCCTTCAGCCTTTCTTCATAAATTGAGTTCTTTAATCCTCTAATCATCTTGGTGGAGCTGTCCCTTCACAGCACTGTTGCCAGTTTTGCAATCTCTCTCTAGAACCAGGGGAACCAAAACTGGACACAGTACTCAAGGTGTGGCCTAACAAGACCCAAGTAAAATGAAATTCTCACATCCCTTGAACTGCTGGCTGTGTTCTTGCTGATGCAGCCTCGGACATAGTTTGCCTTTGCTGCAGCAAGGATATACTGCTGGCTCAAGTTTAGCTTACTGTACACCAGGACTCCAGGTTCTTTTCAGCAGAGCTACAATCCAAATGGTCAGACTTCAGTCTATATCGCTTTTGGCATTTTCTGTTTCACGTCCAGGACTTCACATTTACTTTTTTAAATTTCATGCAATTCTTGTCGCATAGATCTCTCTGAACAGTTGCTCTTCTTTGTGGCTTATCTACTGTCCTCCAAGTTTGGTATTACCCACAAACTTGGTGACGATGCATTTATCCTCTCACTCAGATTGTTTACATGGTTACGGAGTAGTACCAAATCTAATATCGACCTTGAGAAACTCAACTCGTGACCAGCTGTCAAGTGCAACTTTGAGACATTAACCATCACACTTTCAGCCTGGCAGTTCAGCCAGTTTTCCACCCATCTTATGGTACACTGATACAGATCATATCTTATCAACAAGAATGTTTGGGGACATTGTAACAAGGCCTTGGTAGCATCAGGTAGATGATAAGATGCCCAGAGCTCTCTTCTCATTAGCTATGCAAGTTCTTTCATCATGAAAGCCAGTCAGGTTGATCAAGCATGATTTATCCTTAGTAAATCCATGCTGTCTTTTCTTAACCACTTCCTCATCTTTTGTGTGACTTGAAATAGCTTCTACGAGGACTTGTTCTACCATTTTCCCAGGGCCCAAATTAATGCTGACTGGTTTGTATTTTCCGGATCTTCCACTTTGTCTTTTCTGTAGATGGGTAAAGCATTTGACCTTTTCCAGTCATTCAGTATCTCTGATCTCCACAACTTTTCAAAGATAAGACAGTGGCTTTGCAATTATGTCAGCCAACTCCCTGCATCTTTGGATGCATCTCATCAAGTCTTCTCTATTTACGATGGAAAACAGAGACTATTTTTCAAGCAATGCTTATATTAAAAGACATTGTCTAACAAGGAGTTCAGTCCTTTTGGATGGGCACTAACTGAATTTGAACAAAGTATTATGAATACATGGAGACTGAACAGCAAGAAAATGGCATACTATTCAAAGTCAGTGTTTTCTGCTATGGCTTTGAAAACAAACTGAATGCACAGGGTATGAAAAGCGTCATTCTGTATCTGAAAAAAGGGTCTATGAGCAAAATGAGACAGCATTTATCTACCTAATAACAGCCACTATATCACAGAAGCAAAAAACAAGAAGGTGTTATGTGTATTTATAAATTTCGTAACTCTACAAGACAAACATTCAGAGGTAGCAAAAATTCTTGCTGCTTCTTCACAAGACTTGGAAACAACCCTACTGTAGAAATAGGAATGACCTGGTTATTTCCCTCTCCAGGGTAAATCACATCATCTTGCCACTGACAAATGAAAATTTCAAATAAGTGTACTTCTGTTTTTAAAGGCATTTCATACAACATGCCTAACCACAAGTCAACAGTGGTGTAACATGACTATCAGCTTGGCTTTACAAAAACAGAACTACAAATAACAAAACACTGACACAAAACAATAGTATTTTCTTTTATATTCTAAAGTTTTTTGCTTTACTTATTAATTCTGGGTTTTACTTGAAGTGAAATCTCGAAGGAAACCTCATTTTCCATAGAGAAAATCAGGAAGTTTAAAATATTTTCACATACTGCTCGATCTGTCAGAAAAAACGTATCCATTTTTTCCATTATGAGAAATAATGGATTACGCATTTCCTACCTGCTTTCCTGTCTGCGGTAGTCTTGCTGCTGTTCTATTCTAATCATCGGCTTCACCATTCCTCGTTCAGCTGTGCTGGATGCTGATGATGTCCTGTCACCATCAAGCCTGCTGGTGCTCTAATTCAAAACAGCGGGACAGGTGCTTAGCATGCAAACATTGGATTAACCAGTATCTGTGCTTGGTGCTATTAAAATCAAGTGTCAGTCTGAGCTTGAAAAGAGATGGGAAAACAGAAGAATACAGCACAGGATCTGGCAGCTCAGCAGGTGTTTTCCCCACAACAAAGCATGGAAGAGCACACTTGCAATTGAAAAAATGACAACGGCCACCTAGGAGCAGCTATCTGTTAATGCATTGCAAGAACATGCAATGAACATTTCAGACGTCTTTATTTGAAAGTTGCATAGTTATCGATACAGAGTAAGAATGAATTGTTAATGAAAACTCTAGCTAAGGGACAAAGTTAAACGTATTAACAGATTTAGAAATGGTTATGTTCCCCTACCCTGCTTCTGCAATAGCTTCAAGTGCTTACATTATCAACCCATGCCATCATTTATCCTGTTCTTAAGGAAGTCTGATCTGCTAGACAGTATACAATTTTCAAGACAAGAAGTGGCAATTCAAACGATGCAATTTTTTATGTGCAATTTCGGGGATTTTTTTCAGTGTCATGAGCTCCTTAACAGGAAGCTTTTAATTGATGATTTTCAGTTACATCAAACCCTATCAGGAAGGGAAAAAACACGCTGCTTCAAGCAGCAAAACATGTAGCAATTATTTTTCAGTATAAACAGTTGAAAACAAAACATCAGTAAAATATGAAGTGTTTCCACATTTCCTAAGGCATTTCTAGGACTAAATAATTTGCTTTGACACCAGAAAACCTACCAAAAGGTGCATCTCAAAATAAGAGTTTAAACAAAATAGTTTTTACAGTACTGACATGTCAATCTGTGAATCACTTTTCATCACCAGGTCTCACGGAACTTTAATCAAAGTTATTTTTGCCTCTTTTCCAAATAGAAAAGCAAACTCGTAAGAGCAACTGTTAGAAAACAAGTGATTTACCAGTGATTTAACAAGATGTCATGCACATACTCAAACAGTACAACTCAAAAAAAAATATTTGAATTTTTCCAAGCTTCTCAATGTCCACTAAAAGTAGTTTTTTTAATGAGTCTGAAAAGAATATGAGGTATGCTATATAATAATGTCAGAACTCCAATTCTGAGCAATTTTGAGGTATTTTAATAGTTTACAACATGTTTTTTTTAACTTCCAAAATGTCACTAAATAAATTCCTATCGGAGGTAAAGAATTCATCCATGATAAAAGAAAGCATTAATCACAAAGCAAGCTATAAAGGAAGGAGAGAAACTGAATCAGAGTTCTATGGTAAGAAAAAAAAAGTTAAAGACTAACAAATACATTCAAAAGCTACCAGAGTATTACTAATACCTACACTGCCACACTGATATCACTAAACTTCTTTATAAGTATCTCCATTTGATAATAGTAGTAACAAAACACGAAAGGAAATACATTTCTGGGAGAACTACTACATTTCATATTACTGAAATAATTCATTCTCTCATTTCATCTGAGGTATGTGAGCATAGCACCAAGAAAGGCATTAACCATCGTGTCATTTTACTCTATTTGTTTGCTCTTGAAAAATGCAGCTCTGGCATGGAATTTATAAACAGAAAGATAGTGCAGAAAGAAAGCAAGAAAAGATTATCACTTCATAAAATGTTTGTAACTATGACTGCAGAGACAGTTTGTTTAGTTAATATGTGTACAGGAGCTCTATTGAAGTCAAAAGTCACATCCATTAAATTTTAAAACCCTAGTTAAATTAAAATTGAACATACTTTCACATTTTATATAGAACATTTATTTACCCTATCGCAGATTACAATAGTCATATGCTATATACATGAAACAATGATGTATCATTTCTAATAGGAATCTCTACCTGGATGTAATCTGCCTTCAGTAGGTCAGTTTGGGGAGAAACTATTCCAGGCTTAAGGAATTTCCCTTTCTAAAAAAAGTTACTATTGTTGGCACAGAATGCATGCCCAATGTTAATACAAACTTAAACAGAACATGTTGGGGTTGGGGGTTGAAATAAAAAATGCACATGATACCTAAGCCTTCCCACAACAGGAAATGGCTGAGGAGAATGATGAACTGGCCACATTTTACTAAATACTACTGATGTTATAATTTTGAGTTAACTTACATGCAATCTTTTATTATTTACTGCTAATTTAGTCATGATATTATACCTTGCTCGCTGGTAATGCTGTTCCACTGTGAACATCTCCTTCCAGATCAAATGTGGTTTCCTGAACAGCTCTAAAAGGAAGATAACATTCCAAGTACTTTTTAGAATTTATATTATTAAACGTTTGACAAACAGGGAACAGAGTTGCTAAAACTAGTAAATTAAAATTCAAGAGGTATACCATGAGTTCAGTTAACATTCACTTTTTAAAACACTGTATCAATTCTTTACATAAAACCACTACAAATACTTATACAGAGAACTTCCTCTGGAAAAACAATTTCTAGCTACATTTTTCCCTGTCAAGTGAGAAAACATAAACACCCATAAACATAAATAATATAAATACAAAACCACCATATAAAAATATGTTCAAGGTACTGTATTCACTGTAACAGACTTGCTACAATTTTTTGCTCAGCTCTTCAGTACTAAATGTAAACCAATCTTGATAATGTAAATCATTCAGAAATCATAGTAATGCATTTTATTATCTGCTTATTCTAAAGATTTAAAAAATATTTGATTGTTTGAGTTGTAATAGTCCTTTGCCAGCAATTTTGCCGTCCAGGCAAAGCTCTGCAGTAGTACAGTGCTTTGCAGTTGACTAAGTAAACCTGCAAGAGCATTTGTTTACTGATCTGCAGGCTAGATGTAGAATGAACTCAAGATTTAAGCAGAAATATAACCCGACAGCTAAATGGCTGGAGGTCTTTCTGCAGACAGGTCCTACCACAAGCACACAGTGTACTTCCACATTAAAATAGAGAAAAAATAATAATGGGTAAAGTAAACATCTATGTTAACTCAGCAGATTAGCTAGAAGAGTCTCTTTTCCTAGGTGTGTCTTTCATTCACCTCCAAGTCAATTTGTTTCTTTTCTAAACCACAGTATCCTACAATAGTAGACTCGTGTACCCAGAGAGGATGGAAGGTAAGATGTTATTTTTTTTCCATGCCATACAGTATGATTTTAAAATTGTTTCTCCTGAATATTTCTACAGTTACTGAACAAAACACCTGAGCACCTACAAGTCACTAAACTTATAAGCAGTATTTTTATTATGCACCTACTAAAAATATGACTACACAGAGAAACAACAGGATGGACTTCTAGACTGTTAGTCCTTGCAATACAGAAAACTAGAAGATGAGTAATCACACTACAAAAAGTGGTTGCTATATTGAGACATTTAGTTCCCTATTTTGACAGCCTCGTTTCGAGGCAACCTTATTTAATTTCCAAATCCCTCTAATGGAATTTTAAAAGTTACTATCTGAGTAAAAAAAAAAAAACAAAAAACAAAAACCAAACATTCAGCAAATTCTTTACTTTTCCTGGAGGGTAGATGAACTTTGAAATACATTAAAATAAGGCATATCCTCTTCTTAACACAGAAGTGAGCAACAGGAAAATTTGTCTGATTACTTCATAATGACACTTGCTAGTCCTTAAAAAAATCACAAGGTGGAGCTCAAGTATTAAAATAGTTATTATATAGTTAACACTTAAAAGCAGCTACTCAGAACTCATTTAAAGCCATGCTCTAGTCACAGGCCGTTTATAACGCTCTCATTCTTGAATTTTGCCAAGGCTCCCGTCTTCACCGCAGTAGGAAGGAAACAAATTTTACTCACCCAGCTTTGTGTCTTGGACCTTTGACCATAAGACTTGCATCAATAGGTCTTTTAGGAATAATATGGTCCTGAGTGGGATCCACAAACTTAAATACATGAGATGACCCAAACTGAACCTTCATTCCACTTTGCAGCATAGTGGTTTCTGAAATACGCTGACCTTCCACATAGGTTTCGGCATCAATGCTTCTCGGGGTTACAGTAACAACTCCATCCATATTAGTGAGATCACAATGATGAGGTTGAATTCCTGGACCAAATAACTGGAAATAGAATTAATTAACACGGAATAAACTAAATTATACAGCACCAGAAATTAAAACAAAAAGATTGAGCTATTCACAGACTAGTAACTTAACTTTGCTTGCTTATGAATTTACCACAGATGAGTGGTACCAAAATCAGTTCAGTTTCACTTCAATTTTCCTTGCAACAGAGATAACACTCATTTAACTGAAGTGTGTAGCAGAAATCTCATAATGAAAAGGTTTTCACTTTTTTGGTCATACGCTATTCAGAACTGTTTTCTTCCACTTGCTGTTCTGATGTGAAATCTCACAATGCAAGTATTTACAAGTCAACTGACTGCACTGATGTGGACCCAGAGTGCTCTAACAGACTCCCTGGCATCAACTTCATACAACTATGCTTGTTTTATGCACTTAAGAAATTCAACCTCATTCAAAGAGGTTGAGCCTAGGACTTCAAAGTATGATACTGATAGTTACCATTTGATCCAGTGATGAAAAAGAATACCTCATTTTACATAATGAAACCCTGACTTTCTTCTTAAAGCAAGAGAGAAGAAATAAAATAAACCAGAGAGTTTTGACTATTAACATGAAATTGTTGCAATATTTTACTCTTCTAGCTTTGAAGGGTATTCACAGAATATTTTACTAGTTTCCACAATTACACACAACTGACCAGAGATCAGATCAGTTCTGTCATCTGAGTCTGTTTTTTTTCCATACCTGAATGGAATTGTCATCAAATTTTTCAGTTCCAACTTCAGTGACGCTTAACTGTAGTCGATAGAGCTTTGGCTTATCTCTGGAGTCAGAACCATCTGTACAGCAAGTGACAAGTATTTGCAAGTTATTAAAGTTCAAATACACAATATTCTACATTATCGCAATTTAGTTCAGAGTAGCAATGTTCACCAAAAAAATAACAGGGACGTTCTTTCAAGATTTGTTGGGAACTTAGTTGTTCATCGTAGTGTAAAAACATTGAAAGATGACAAAGCCCACTCAGAGGGGCTGTTTTCTACAAGAGCAAAGAACAAAGTAATCAAGAACTACTATTCTGAACATACTTTGAAAAACTTTCTCTATTTCCACAGCAGTTTAAGCAACACAATTTTTGTTAATCTCTAAGATTTTGTACAGATATACCAAAACAGGTTCAAAGGATTTAGAAAACAAGATAACTGCAGATCTCTATAGTAAGAGTATTTATTGATCTTACTAAAAGTACAGATTATCAGTGATATCTCCTGTCAGGTGGACAACACGCCAAACTGTTTCCTGTTCAATCAGATACTGAAATAGGGCAGTATTAGAAGAAAATCTTACAAAATGTTCACCTATGACAGCTTTAGTCTTGATATATAGGAATGCAGACTTCTGGCCTTATCTTTATAGTCCCATTGACCTATATTTTCATCTCGCAGAAAATGAGGTCAAAGATAAAGCCTGTTTTCCTCCTCCTCCCAGAAGAATGTATCATCCAAACAGAATAAAATTTCACAAGATACACTGGAAGCAGCCCAGGATTTAGCTGCTGCTGCCTTCACAGGCTAACACAGATGAGTTGGCATACATATTAATTCATCCTGCTTCCCAGAAAATACTACAACTTTAAATACTATCAGATACTAAACTAATACTGTCATTTCTGACTTCTGTCCACTTTCTCCTCTAAAGGGAAGATGCAAAAAAAGGAGGCTGCAAGACAAAGAATGTTTTACCTGTTGACATGAACAGTGATTTCAAGTCAACCCCAAAAAGCATTAGAGAATATTATTAAAGCCATAGGACATACAGTGATACTGTCTTCAGTAGGATACTAGTCATCTTCATATTTTAAATGAGAGTCAATACAAACAGAACCTCCATAAATCTAATTGTAAACTCCTAGCATTACTACCAGGATCTGTTTATCAAAATCAGAATGCAAGCCATTTAACCATAAAATTTCACTTAGCCTATGAAGTCTTCTATCAGTCCTCTAATGAACAGTATTTAAAGGAATTAAAAATCAACAGCACAGAGAAAACTAAACACTTAAGAACTATACACTGACTAAAAGCAGAATATACAAAGAAAGGAAGCCAACAGTACAAAAGATGAGAAAACACAAAGTAAATGGAGGGAGGGAGGAAGAAGAAGCTGGGTTATCAATGAAGAATGATACCAACAGAGTTTTACATGATTTTGACGTGGGGAAAAGTAAACAGGTGCTCCTAGTAGTAAGCTTCTCCTGGGGGTGTTGTGATGTTATTCAGACATGAAGTCATCAGGCAGAGACAGTCCATAGACTAGTACTATAAGTACCAAAGTAAGTGCTGATACTATAGTAATATCAGTTATCGAACATATTTAGAATCACTATTGTAATAGTAGTATGTCATGCATCACGAAAGAAGTATTAAACATAAGAGCACTCAGTCCTCTAAACATTTTTCAAGTACAAAGATAAGCCTTTTACTAAATCCCAATATTTCAGTCTATAGAGACATACATCTAGTATCACTGTACACTCAAAAAGGTAATGCTAATACAGTATGTTCAGCAATTTAAACTGTGTGCAGTTTTTAATACTTAACAATGCTAATCAGAAATTATATGGCTGCATCTTCAATGTCACCAAATGCAGACGTGTAATATGCTACTGAATACATTTGGCTGCTTACCCCCAATTCTCTGAATTGTTATTATATTTCCCCACAACTCACACATCAAAACCTAGAGTAGCTCCTTCACTTATTTATTTATGAATCCAGAAGTCAAACATTTCCTCCTCCTACCCACATCCCAGTTTGGTAAAATTGGTACCCAAAAGATAAAAGATTCAGTTTGGAGGCAAAGACCCTTATTCAACATGCAAAAATACTGGAATTTCAAAAGTCAGTGGTATAAAAGTCAGGGCTAGTTATCCAGGGCTTTTGTTCTTAATTTCTTATGGCACTTTCTCCTAAGCCATTTATATACAAATTAGAGAATAGGCTTTATGGTCTAGCGATTTCACTTCTATATTAAATATACTTCCCCCTCCCACATATCTTTTCATTTTTGACATCTTAAAAAAAAAAAACCACAACTTAAAAATATTCCTACATATTTCTGAAACATTCTGTAAAATACATGAGGTTTTTCAAGTGTTTACTTAAAATAACTTCTGGATCTCATTCCCGAGTTCAGCACTTGTGAATATTCAATCAATACCAAGTTCCTGCTAATAAACATTTACCTCACACCATCATATATCCTCAATATAGATGCATGTCACGTAAAATGTGCTTTCA